AGGTGGGCTAGTCAGATATCGCTTCAATTCCTCCAAGGCACGTTGACATTCCGGAGTCCATTTGAAGTTGTTTTTTCTTTTTGAGTAAGGAGAATAAATGATGACTTCTGTCCGAGAACCTTGATATGAATCGGCCAAAGGCTGCTATCCGCCCGGCCAGCCGCTGCACGGCCTTCACATTGTTTACCACCGTGATTTCTTCGATGGCTTTAATTTTGTCGGGTTTGATCTCGATTCCCCTGTTTGACACTATGAAGCCTAAGAATTTATCCGAGCCCACTCTGAAGGCATATTTCTCGGGATTGAGTTTCATGTTTTAGCTTCTGAGGATGTCGAATGTCTCCTGCAAATGAGTCAAATGGTCCTCTGCACGCAGGGATTTAACTAGCATGTCATCAATATAAACTTCCATGGATTTGCCTATTTGATGTTCGAACATCTTATTAACTAGGTGTTGGTATGTGACTCCCGCATTTTTCAGCCCGAAGGGCATTACATTGTAACAATATGTATCGTACTTCGTGATGAACGAAGTCTTTTCCTATCCTCGGGGTTCATCTGGATTTGGTTATACCCCAAGTAGGCGTCGAGAAAGGTGAGGGTCTCATGACTGGCCGTGGCGTCGATCAAGCGGTCGATGTTAGGCAACGGGAATGAATCCTTGGGGCATGCTTTATTTAGGTCTTTATAATCTACGTACATTCTTAACTTATTTCCCTTTTTGGGAACCACCACCACATTGGCCAGCCATTCAGGATATTTTACCTCCCTAATAGACCCTATTTTGAGGAGTTTTATTACCTCGTCTTTGATGAACGCGTGTTTTATTTCGGACTAGGGTCTCCTTTTCTGCTTCACTAGTTTGATTCTAGGTTCGACACTTAATCGATGGGTGGTTATTTCCGGTGGAATCCCTGTCATATCTAAATGGGACCAAGCAAAGCAGTCGATGTTATTAATAAGAAATTGAATGAGTTTTTTCCTGAGTTCGGGGTTAATCCCGTTCCCAGGTATACCTTCCGATCAGGGAGATGTTCGATCAAAACCACTTGCTCTAGTTCTTTGATAGTTGACTTCGTTGCATCCGATTCTTCGGGGGCAATGAAGGTTCGGGGGGCGAGGAAATCTTACTCATCCTCCTCGGGGGGTCTGTTTACCTCTTGGCTCTTCTGAGGTAGAGTGAATAGGATTTGGTGCCTCACGGTGGACCGCGAACATTTCCTTTGCCGCATGCTGTTCTCCATATACCGTTTTTATACTGTCCCTTGTCGGGAAATTCATCATCTGATGCAGAGTTGATGGTACTGCCCTCATGTTGTGTATCCACGGCCTACCAAGCAATGCGTTGTACCTCATGTCACCTCCGATGACATGGAAGTTGGCGTCCTGAACTGTACCAGATTTGTTGACCGGGAGGGTGATCTCCCCCGTTGTTACTTCGCCGACCATGTTGAAGCCGTTGAGGATTCAGGAGGTAGGTATGATCTGACCGAGGAGTCCGAGTTGTTCTACCACCTTAGATCTGATTATGTTGGCTGAGCTACCTGGATCCACGAGTACACGTTTCATTCGAATGTTATCCAAGAGAAATGAAATTACCAGCGCATCATTATGTGGTCGAGAAAAAGTCTCAAAATCTTCTTCGCTGAATGCGAGGATGTCTTCGAACATGCAGACCCGAATCGGCCCTTCCGTTGCAGTGGAAAAATTTATCCATTTGGTCACAGGTCCTTGGGGAATTTCGGTTCCCCCAATGATCATATGAACGATGTGCTGAGGTTTTTCCACTCTGTTTTTCCTGTTTGCCTTTCTTTTTTTTCGGGCGGGATTTCCCCGAGTTCCCTGTTGATTTTCTTGGTGTGTACTCCCGTTAGTGTGGGAGCCGATACTAGCGTGTTGGGCGTCACGTGAGCCCATGCTTACGAGGATCGGTTCTGGTGCATTCTCCGGGTTTTTTGGTGGTACACCAATATCTGGTACAGCTTCGTCATTTTCTCCATGGTCCTCAAGACCGTTGTTTTCATGTGCACTTACTAAGTTAGACATTTTGACCTGAAATCAAACAAAAAAACAATCACTATTATTTTTAGCCCCACGGTGGGCGCCAAACTGTTTACCTTGAAAATGGTAATTACAATTAGATTTGATTTTGTGGTTCTAAAAATACGTGATCTATTTTTATGCTAGTTGTTAGGCAACAGATGCTAAGTGTGATATTATAAAATAAGATAAGAACTTGAAAAAGTGTGTTTATGCAAACCGAGCGGCTTAGAATCGGGGCCTCAAGCCTGGTTATACGGGGCCTCGAGGTCGAGCTCGATACTATGTTATGGATAGCCGATGACGGACTAACAGCTTTGAGAGCTTTGATGAAGGCTCTTTATGATCAATAATGAGCAATAAATGAAGAACAATTAATAGAACACAATAAATGTAAGCAATAAAGGTAAATAATAGAATCACAGGAGAATATGTTTAAGTTAGAGAGCAGAGAATGTTCTTGTATTCAATATTGCATATTGTATCCCTTTTCTAAAAAAATAACGAGGATCCCCTTTATATAGGAGGGGGAATCTCAAAAGAGTACATGTGCATTTATTACAAAGAAATGTAGCTAGTACAGCTACTCAATAGTCTGGTACAGACTGGTACTATTCGTGTAGATGTTGTCAGCTTTGACCACGGGCCTAGGGAGCTTCCCGTTTTTCCATGATAACCGTCGATATATGCTGCCCAGAAGTCAGACATAAAGAAACATCGAACTCGAAACCTCGACCTGTGCCCCCGAGCCTTCGAGGTGAAGCTACGGAAAGACATAATGATCGTAAGATCGGGCTCCCCGATTTTACCCGTATACAGATAGTCCCCGCGTTTCTTTAGAGTGAGACGATAAGAAACGATCTCGAACTCTTACCCCTTCGGTGCCTTTATTACGACGGTAGTCACACCCTATCAAGCGATTGATATGACAAAATAAGGTGTCCAAAGGTCGCGTCCACACAGCCCTTAAAAGCCTTTGAATTAATTACAGCGGTTGGCTGTCCTAAGATATTCTACGGGATATTCAAAGAATTTAGAGGCTCCGGTTAAGGACCGCTGGGTAAAGAAAATATTTGTTATAAATATCATGGGAGAGAGTAACAGAAAGGGGGCTAAGAGGAACACACACAGGGAAAAACATGTAGATCTCTCTGAAGGAGAAGATATTCCCTGATTCTAGGCTCATCGCTGGTAAAGGAGAAGAGTTTGGAATCTCGATATTCATTTGTAATTCAACTTTATCAAATATACGGAGGTCGGTTTTGTTCAAGGATGGTGACTCTTTCCATTTATTAGAACAATCATCTATTTCTCCCATTATGAAACTCAATCACCACTGTAATCAAATTATGTTTAGTTATGCTTGTTTATTCCCATTTTCTATCTCAGATCTAGAATGAATTATCTCTGGCTAGAATTTGCCCCAAATCTTCTTATTTAATTGGTTTAACAAAAATGTTTAGTCCTTTTTAGTCAAATAAACAAATCAGTGCAGTCTCACAAGTGGGTTTGAGTTTTGATATGCTAAAAGTGACAAGTAAAGTTAAATACTAGACAAGGAAAAGTGAATGGAATGAGTATTAAGAGAGTGATGATATCTCACTAACCTTAATACTATATCTCGTTTCGAGCTAAACTTTGGAAGGATATCGCTTATAATACTGAATGATTTAAAAAAAAAATATTTTTTAGTTTCTCACTTGCTGTTGGATGCTCGTTTTAAAATCTACTAATTCTAATTTACGTAACGGCATAACTTTGTCTTCGGATTGCATAGGAATTTCAGAAAATGGAACGATAACAAAATTAAGATAACGGTTATATTGAGAAGAGTGTTATGGACAAGAGGACTAAAAATAAATAGAAATAATTCAAATCTACTAAATCTACTAAATAAAAAATAACTTGCGAATATATAATATATATATATAGTCACATTTAATATATGTCAAAATAAAACTTAGACAAGTATTGCTTGTGGAGGGAGTAAAAATAAAAATGAACACTAACTTCTGTTTAAAGCTCCGCATCCTTTTTTTACTTGGAAACTTATAAGAAGACTTTTTTTCTGGAAAATTATAAAATTACTTTTTTCTTTTTGGTATTTAAACACCATCTCATGCCAAGATGATGGGTGCTCCTCTCACGAGTACAGCCAACCATGTCAAATGGGCAGGGAATGACCCACATAGCTCAACCTAAACACGTTGTCAAATTGTGTACAGTATAAATGAACTCCAATTAGCATTCACCTTGTCAGGGATGGGAAGGTTGGCAAAGAGTAATTAGAAGATGAACATCTATTTGTAATAGTAATAAATAACATCCTTCATATTACATACTAAGTTATAAACAATCCCACAATAACAATGTTAATTTACTTACAGAATAAATGCAATTAAACCTGCAATATTAAGCAGGTGAATATTTTTTTCGGGTACATGAATACGCGCGAAGAGATGTACTCCATCCGTTGGCACATTAAGAAATAATCAATGAATACGTAATTTACCATAATACCCATATTAATTGATGCATAATTTATTAGATTTGAGAAAATAATTTAAACTGAGCAATAAATATTGTGGATATAATAGAAACAACAAATTTGTCTCTCTTGATATACGTAATGATATTTTTAATACACATGCCAAGTAAAAGTGAACGGAGGGAGTAAGTTGTTAATTTTGATTTGATAGAGCACGAAAATTAAAAGCCACAAAATGAACAATCAGAGTCGTATCAGCAAGACAGCAATCCAAAATATCAAATTAAGCATAACATGAATGATTAATACACCATTTTCAGAAGTTCAGATGCATAACCAGACAAACATAAGCCCCTAAAAGCTGGAAGCTGTGATACAAACTCCCTTCGGTTGTCGCCGAATAACCTATGGAAGAGAAAACGATCATGTAGGAAAACGATAAGGAAGAGAAAATCACATTTAAAACTCTAAATTATCTACGCCAAGAAGATTCACTCCATCGTTCGAAAACAAGGAGCATGCGACCAACCATGTAGGAAGCATATGCATTAATACAACCATATTCAACTTGGCTTTCACTAAGAACCCTTGCCTCCCAATTGCCCATGGAAAGAGGCTTAGGTTTTGGCAAATCTATAGCACATATTACAGAAGCAAGTTCGTTCAATCCTGGACAAGCAGAAAACGACCAAATCGACATACCCTCAGCCATCCCACGAAGATCAACGTTTCTGTTACAGACCAAGCCATATTCATCCTTGAGCTTACGGATGTCTTCAGCAACCTCAACCCCCACAAATGTGAAATTAGGACTAGACAATAAGGTTTTGAGTGTTTGTGGTGGGATTTCGTCCAAATAAAACAACTGCACTATCAGACACCTGTACTCAATGCAGAGTTGGAGTGTAGCTGTTTTGTTGGCCGTGTTTGGGACTACAGTACCGTGACTCCATTGGATGCCTAAGCCAACAAAGGTCTCCGTTCCTGCATTCTTTCCATACAAGGTGAGGACTTCACTTGCCCATAGATTGGCAATGGAAGCTTTGTCAGTCACTGTTGTTACAATTGTCTTTCGATCAAAATTGACGCTGTAGTTGGTAATGGGCGTGGGGTTGAAGCTGGCCATACTAGAGGTGCTACCAGGTGATGAGGACATAGTTATGATATTGTGAAAATAAAATTATGTTTGATGCATTTCGGAAGATCACAATTTATAGCATATTGATCTGTAGGGTTAGTATCCCTGAAAAACGTAAAAAAAATGTTAATATGCGTTTAATGTTTTTGGAAAACTCTGAAATTGATTTTTAAATATATTATTCGATAATTGAGAATATAAACACCATTTACTCTGACGTTTATTACCAAGAAAATGAACGGTCTTTTAAATACTCCATGCACGCCAAAGTAAATAGGGGTGACTGATGAGTTTTCAAATTAAGCTGTTCAATATACTAAATAGGGCTGACTGATGAGTTTTCCAAAATTTAGCTGTCCAACGCTTGTCTTGGTTTAATATTTTACCGTACGTACGTGATTTCTTTTCAAGTTACAAAGATAGAGTTTCTCTTATAAATCCTCCATCTCCATATAGAAGTTGGGAAATGAATATCTGTAGTGTCTATGTTTCAAGGATATTTGATTAATTAATTTGTTTGAGAGATTTGGTTTATAGTTCATTGCAAATAGGAGTATTAATTACTTTAGTTACATAAAATAACTTTTGCAGGAGCACAGTAAATATTGAAATGCTTTATGATAATTGTACTGAAAATACTCTGCCATATTTATACATACAAATCATGTAAGAGTCTTAAAATAAGTTATATACAGAGGATAACAATTCTACGCAAACTAGGACACAAGTAGACAAAACCAATTGATAATATACTACAACTGAATGTTATCCTTCTTCATTCCCCCTCAAGTTGAGCAGGGGTCTAGACCACCATCAACTTGGATTTTAACTCAAGAAAGCGTGACTTCGACAATGGCTTCGTCAATATATCGGCAACTTGATTAAGAGAACTGACATACCGAATTGGAAGCGTCTTAGCACGAACCTTGTCTCAAACAAAATGGAAATCAATTTCCATGTGTTTCGTACGAGAATGGTAAATGGGATTGGTTGTTAAGTATGTAGCACTCAAATTGTCACACCACAGAATAGGAGTAGAAGAGGTAAAACATCCAATTTCTCGAAGCAGAAACTCCACCCAAGTGATTTCTGAAGTTGCAGTAGCTAGTGCTCTATACTCAGCCCCAGTGCTTGATCAGGATACAACTCTTTGCTTTCTTGATGACCATGATATCAAATGATTGTCCAGGTAAATGGCAAAACCAATGGTGGACTTCCTATCATCTATATTCCCCCACCGAGGGGCGAAGCCACCTTTTACAAAGGGTGGTCAACTGGCCACCATTTACCAAAATATTACGAAAAATTACACTGCGTATATGAGTAAAATACTGATTTTAGATGTATAAAATATATATTGAACACCCTTTTGTCGGGAATTTTTTTTTAGTTCTTTCAAGTTTGAACACCGTTGGAAATATTTCCGGCTTCGCCACTGCCCCCATCCCCCTAATCGGAATCTGTATAACCATGAAGTAATGTAGTAGAACTTCGTAAAAAGAACAAACCATGAACTAATGAACCTTTGATATATCGCAAGATACGTTTCACTGCCATCCAATGAATATCCGTAGGACAATGCATGAATTGAGAAACCTTGTTCACTGCATATGCCACATCCAGACGCATGAAGGTCAAGTACTGCAGCGCACCAACTATGCTGCGATACAATGTCAGATCGTTGAATGGAACACTACCAGATGATGAAAGTTTGGAAGCTAGGGAAATGGGAGTGTTAACAGGACTGCACGACTCCATCTGAACACGGCAAAGGAGCTCCTCAACATATTTCTTTTGAGATAAAATAATCCTTCACTTGTCCAAGATGCTGTTATACCTAAAAAAAATAGGACAAAGTCCCCAAATCACGTACTGCAAAGTGAGACTGGAGTTGTGCAACTAAAGACTTAATACGAGTAGGGTTATTACCAAGCACCAAAATATCATCCACATATATTAGACATAAAAGCTTGTCACTAGTAATAGACATATAGAACAAAGAACTATCCATCTTAGATCCCGAGAATCCTAGCGAAGCGAGAGCATCAGTGGGTCGCTTGTTCCACATTCGAGGAGCTTGTTTGAGACCATAAAGAGATCACTAAGAATACCTTCAAGTTTGAATTTTTTGTCAGAAACAACAATAGAACTTGCACCTATATGAGAGATTGGTAATTTAGAGCCATTACCTAGAGTTACTTCCTCAGGACCTTGATATTCAGAGTGAATGCCAAGGTTATCTAAATCAGATGTCGGATGATGGGTGGTGCCACTATCCATCAACCAATTTTGGGTAGATGGACTTTGGGTGTTTTCTAGGTTGGAAACAGGTTGTCCAGAAACTCGAGTGCCATTAGATGTCCTGGGTGATGGGAAAACTCGTGCAATATGGCCTTTTCCTGCACAATTGTGACAAATAATTGTTGACATATCTGAGGTTGAAGACAGAACATTGGAGGATTGAGTGGTGTTCTGGAAACCACGTTGTTGAGTCATCAGAAAAACTATAATTTTGAGAGTGTTCACGACCTCTATTACCTCTACCTCTACCACGTCCATGAGTGGGGGCAACAGAACTCTGAGTAAATTGTGTTGTGTATGCTATGACATTAAGAGTCTCATCTCTCTTTAATTGTCGTTCTTCATTCAACAATAAGCCATATAAAGCGTCAAACGAGATATCCTCTTGACCCGATTCAAGAGATCTTGTAAAGGGAAGATAGGCTGGTCCCAATCCAGCAAGAACAAATTAGACTAAATCATCATTAGGAACTGGATGTTGTAATGCAGCCAACTTGTCCGCAAATTCCTTTGCCTTTTGCACATAAGACTCAATACTAGAATTGTCTCTCTACAATGTGTGTAGCTGAGTTTTCAACTCACGAGTCCAGGGCTTCGAACCTGAGGCATAAGCAGCAACTAGTTTGTTCCAAGTCGTTTGGGCAGTCTCAGCGCCAACCAGTTGGCGCAATATTCCTTCCGACACGGAAGCAACAATCCAACTTGACACAAGTTGATCTTCTCTTATCCAAACGTGATACTCTAGGTTAGGTTGATTACCGGTCAGAAACTGATCTGGAATCACCTGACTACCATTAATATGGTGACCAAGTCCACAACCTCGAACCATCGGAAGAAACTGTGTCTTCCACAACAAAAAATTTGATGATGTAAGTTTAACCGGTAGTTGATGAGCAAGATTAGGAGACGGTAGAGTGGTGACCATGGAGGTCTGTGTTCCAGCAGCTGTTCCTGAGGAACCTGATGAGAATTTGTCGTCCACCATTGAAGTTGTTTCAAAGCTTTTGCGGTTTTTATTTGGGTTGTTTTGACCTCTTAAGGCTCTTAATACCATGAAAGGCTTTATGATAATTTTATTGAAAATACTTTTCCTTATTTATACATACAAATCATGTAAGAGTCCTAAAATGAGTTATATACATAGGATAACAATCCTATGCAAACTGTAATATGATCATTAATTTGGCTTCTTCTCCAAGTTGGGGCCAAGTTTTTGACATTTGCCATGACATCATATCCACTTTCATGACATTTGCCATGACATCATATCCACTATAAGGCCAAGGATTTCTTGCTATAAATAGAGGAGCTTCTCCTCAATTGTAAACACACCAATTCAAGAGCTTTTCACTCTTGTCTTTCTTTCTTCTCCTTTATTTTATTATAGAGTATTTTGTAAGAGAGTGAGTGTTGGGAAACACTTGTGTGAACCTTTTCTTTGGAGTGTATTTGAGACTAATTACTCTAATCTTGTTCTCTCTTTTGTACTCTTGTTGGTATAGTGAAATTGCTCCTCTTTGCTTGTGGACGTAGGTCTCCTTGACCGAACCACGTTAAATTTGTGTCTTCTTTTAATTGCCTTTATTATCAGCTTTAATTATCTTTGTTATTGTCATTATAACGTTGTTTGGCTAAATTGTGCACTACCCGATTTCCGATCCTTACAAACTGGTATCAGAGCCGGATCTAACCAGATTTTTTCCAGTAGTCAACATGACTCTAACAAAGACTTATTTTGAGAAATTTGATCGAAGTGCAAACTTTGGAATGTGAAATTAAAGTTGGAAAGCTATCCTAATTCAGGATGACTTAGATTTGGCACTATATATAAGGAAAGGAGAAAAGCCGGATAAAATGATGGACAATAAATTTGCTGTCATTGACAAAAAGGCAAAAGCTGGTATCATTGTAAATCTTTCAAATAAGGTTTTGCGTGAAGTTGCTACAGAAAGCTCAGCCAAAGGCATATGGAAAAAACTGAAAATCATGTATATGAAAAGAACAATTGAAACATGCTTTACCTAAAGCAAAAACTCTACACTTTTCGTATGGCTGAAGGTACCTTTATACTTACACATCTTGATACTTTTGATTCTCTTCTTATGAATTTAAGTAACATAGATGCTGAAATCAAAGATGAGGATCAAGTTCTGTTATTGCTTGTTTCCTTACCCCTGTCATTTAAACATATACGAGATACTATGCTTTATGGAAATGATAATATCTCCTATAAAGATATTAAATCTATTTTGAAATCATACGAACAAATAGATAGAGATATTACTGGGAAAGCTGTGGGAACCAAGGGGAAGGCTTGTATTTAGTGAACATAGGAGATCATTTTCTCCTTTTTTTTATAATTTCAAATTTTACTACGAGATACATATATAGAGAAAGAGATTAACTTTTCTCCAAATATTTATAATCTTAAGCAGCCATACGATTATATTGTTTCCTAATTGGGTTTGATTGTGTCAGTGACTTAACACAGAGAAGACTTAATTTCTAAGTGAAACCATGACTCGAGATTATGTACTATGACGGCTAAACTAGAATGCGTAATAATTACATAACATTAAAAAATGGGGTCTTAGGCTAGAAGCAATTGGTACTTCTTCAGATCGACCAGCTTGCCGAACCTGTATTCAGAGGTAATTTTTACTCCCTCCGGTCCACGATAAGTGAACTAAGCTGACAAGTCCACAGCTCATGCCATA